TTTTTTCCCCAATTTCCGTTTAACTGGGAGAAGATTTTTTTTCACACATTTCTAAACACAGTAGTTTTGATAACTCATTTCTAATAACTGATTTATTTTATCTTTGCCATGATGACAGTAAATAATATTTTACTAGATATTTTTCAAGACACTTCTATACAGCTTAAAGTCACATTTAAAGGCTTAACTAGGTTAATTAAGTTAACTAGGCAGGTTAGGTTAGACAAGTTATTGTATAACAGTAGTTTGTTCTGTAGATTATGCAGAAAAAAATAGCATAAAGGGGCTAATAATTTGTCCCTAAAATGGCTTTTAAAAAATAAAAAAACTGCTTTTATTCTAGATGAAACAAAACAATTAAGACTTTTTCTAAAAGAAAAAATATTATCATACTGTGAAAATTTCCTTGCTCTGTTAAACATCATTTGGAAAATATTTTAAAAAGAAAAAAAAAAATTTGAAAGGGGCTAATAATTCTGACCTCAACTGTATGTATATGTATGTGTGTATATATATATATATATATATATATATATATATATATATATATATATATATATATATATATATATATATATATATATATATATATATATATATATATATATATATATATATATATATATATATATACATATATACATATATATATATATATATATACACATACACACACACATGCATACATACATACATACATACATACATACATACATACATACAATATATATATATATATATACATACATATACATACATATACATACATATACATACATATACATATAGTCTTATTTGTTTTATTTCGACTAGAATAAAAGCAGTTTTTAATTTTAAAAATCCATTTTAAGATCAAAATTATTAGCCCCTTTAAGCTTTATATTTTTTCGATAATCTACAGAACAAACCATCACTATACAATAACTTGCCTGATTACCCTAACCTGCCTAGTTACCCTAATTAACCTAGTTAAGCCTTTAAATGTCACTTTAAGCTGTATAGAGGTGTCTTGATAAATATCTAGTGACATATTATTTACTGTCATCATGGCAAAGATAAAATAAATCAGTTATTAGAAATACGATATTAAAACTATTATGTTTAGAAATGTGTTAAGAAAATTCTGCTTTCCGTTAAACAGAAATTGGAGAAAAAATAAAAAGAGAGACTAATAATTCTGACTTCAACTGTATATATCGATGAGCTATCTACCCCTTCCCCTTAGAATTGGGATTGGGCCTAAATGTGCAGCATATTATGCAAAAAACAAACCTTAATAATTCATATTTAACACTGTTCATGGTTAGAAAAATCAAGCATTTTTAAAACCGAACAAGATCTGAAGTTAAAACTTAGTTAATTTTTCTCACAATCTACTTTGCAGCCTCAAATCTCATAGTGTTTGTGACATTACAGTAGACGACACCATGTTCTCGTTTTTACCTGCTCTTTTCTCAAGCGGTGCATTTTCTCTGCTCAACACCATCCGACAAAAGACATTTCACTGAATCTGACAACTCGACAAAACACAAATATTCATCGGCTTTCAGAAGTGCAAATGCAGCACTGGCTGTGCTGTCATCCAGCGGCATAAAGCAGAGATTACAGAGAGCGTGAAGACCGACTGTCAACACCTTTCTGCAAATAACCGCTCATACATCTTCATAAATAAGCCTTAGTAATTGCCACTGACCTCAAAGAAAGAAAGCAGGAAAACAGAATTATGGTATCAATGATAATGTTTTTCGGTCAATGTTTTGTCAGGGTGGTTTAGGGTTGGAGGAAGATGGCATAATATACAGTCTGCAGAGAATAAACATCGTTATCTCTATGAGAGGTCCCCATACATGATGAAAACCCAACATGGTTGAGTGTGTGTACCTTGTACTCCTAATGTTATGGGAACCAAATGTCCATAACAAATATACACTCACTGGCCACTTTATTAGGTACACCTGTCAAAACTGCTCACAAATTTATAATCAGCCAATCACATGGCAGCAACTCAATGCATTTAGGCATGTAGACGTGGTCAAGACGATCCGCTGCAGTTCAAAGCGAGCTTCAGAATGGGGAAGAATCTGCAGCAACTGCGTGATGCTATCATGTCAATATGGAGCAAAATCTCTGAGGAATATTACCAGTAGCTTGTTGAATCTATACCACAAAGGTTAAAGGCAGTTCTGAAGGCAAAAGGGGGTCCAAACCAGTACTAGTAAGGTGTACCTAATAAAGTGGCCGGTGAGTGTAGCAAAACCAGCATTTTAACATTGTGGGGACATTTTTTTTAAATGACTCATAAATTACACAAAATAAAGAATATTGAAAGTGTAAAAATGCAGATTGTTTCCTAAGGGTTGGCTTTAGGGGTCGAGTTGAGGAGGAGGGATCGAATATACAGTCTGTACAGTATACAAATCGTTACATCTATGAGAAGTCCCCATAAAGATAACTGTACAAGAGGGTGTGTGCGTGTGTACTAGTTTTTATATACAGATGGGGACTTAAACCTGAATGCACACAGACTTACAGGGACTTTTGCCACTGTGGGGAACAAAATTGCGGGCCCAATAAATCTCACAGAAAAAAGAATATTGAAAGTGTAAAAATGCAGATTGTTTCCTAAAGCCTCCTTTCCACCGCACACGACATTCGACAAGCGACAGACCAGAAGTCATTCATTTCCAATGGAGAGCAGTTCGGGAGCTGTGTTAAGTTCCGACCATCTCTGTATGCGGAAAATTTGGATCCGAATTGAGCTGCGAATCCGTTGAAATATTTGAACTCCTGCGACTAGACCGTATGCGACCTGCCGACCAGATATGATGTATTCCAGTGTTGTCCAAGCAAATCCGTGTGCACGAGATTAGAAATAGGACTTTATTTGGTTATTTTTTGAATTATAAAAAGTCTATATTAAAAAAAAACTTTTCTATTCATACATGTAAGTAAGAAAGTAATAAAAATGTATATTTTTAATGTTGTCTCCACCTTCCCATCAATATTTTAGTGCTCTATGAGTTTCTAGTATTCATTCATCCATTAAACTTTGTAAACGCACAGAGGATAAAGGCTCTTGCTTTTGCTGTCCTTTATTTCGGACACCGTGAGAATCAGATTCTTCTCATGGTGCACGACAACACTGAAAATACTGTTCGGCTGCCACAAGGGGGCGTATTCCGACAGTCATGTTCAAATGTAGTGTGCAGTGGAAAGGCGGCTTAAGGGTTTAGGGGTCAGGTCGGGGAAGAGGGATCGAATATACAGTCTGTACAGTATAAAAATCACTACGTCTATGAGAAGTCCTCATAAAGATAACTGTACAAGAGGGTGTGTGCATGTGTACTAGTTTTTATATACAGATGGGGACTTAAACCTGAATGCACACAGACTTACAGGGACTTTTGCCACTGTGGGGAACAAAATTGCGGGCCCAATAAATCTCACAGAATAAAGAATATTGAAAGTGTAAAAATGCAGATTGTTTCCAAAAAGCCTCCTTTCCACCGCACACGACATTCGACAAGCGACAGACCGGAAGTCATTCATTTCCAATGGAGAGCAGTCTGGAAGCTGCGTTGAGTTCTGAACATCTCCGTATGCGGAAAATTCGGATCCGAATTGAGCTGCGGATCCGTTGAAATATTTGAACTCCTGCAACTAGACCGCATGCGACCTGTCGACCAGATATGATGTATTCCAGTGTTGTCCAAGCAGATCTGTGCGTGCGAGATTAGAAATAGGACTTTATTTGGTTATTTTTTGCATTATAAAAAGTCTATATTAAAAAAAAACGTTTCTGTTCATAATTGTAAGTAGGTAGTGCTGTCGCCTCACAGCAAGAAGGTCGCTGGGTCGCTGGTTCGAACCTCGGCTCAGTTGGCGTTTCTGTGTGGAGTTTGCATGTTCTCCCTGCCTTCGCGTGGGTTTCCTCCGGGTGCTCCGGTTTCCCCCACAGTCCAAAGACATGCAGTACAGGTGAATTGGGCAGGCTAAATTGTCCGTAGTGTATGAGTGTGTGTGAATGTGTGTGTGGATGTTTCCCAGAGATGGGTTGCGGCTGGAAGGGCATCCCCTGCGTAAAAACTTGCTGGATAAGTTGGCGGTTGATTCTGCTGTGGCGACCCCGGTTTAATAAAGGGACTGAGCCGACAAGAAAATGAATGAATGAATGAAATGTAAGTAAGAAAGTAATAAAAATGGATATTTTTAATGTTGTCTCCACATTCCCTCCAATATTTTAGCGGTCTATGAGTTTCTAGTATTCATTCATCTATTAAACTTTGTAAACGCACAGAGGATAAAGGCTCTTGCTTTTGCCCTCCTTTATTTCGGACACTATGAGAATCAGATTCTTCTCGTGGTGCACGACAACACTGAAAATACTGTGCGGCTGCCACAAGGGGGCGTATTCTGACAGTCGTGTGCAGTGGAAAGGCGGCTTAAGGGTTGAGTTTAGGGGTCAGGTCGGGGAAGAGGGATCGAATATACAGTCTGTACAGTATAAAAATCACTACGTCTATGAGAAGCCCCCATAAAGATAGCTCTAAAAGTGTGTGTGTGTACTGGTTCTTATATCCAGGTGGGGACTTAAACCTGAATGCACACTGACTCATGGGGACTTATGCCACAGTGGGGACCAAAACTGAGGTCCCTATAAGTAAAAATCCTTGTAAATCACACAGAATGAAGCATATTGTAAATGTAAAATGCAGATTGTTTGCTAAGGGTTGGGTTTAAAGGTAGAGTTGGGGAAAAGGGATCGAATATACAGTTTGTATAGCATACAAATCCCTACAGATATGAGAAGTCCCCATAAAGATAGCTGTACAAGAGTGTGTGTGAAGTACTTTTTATATTCAGGTGGGGACTTAAACCTGAATGCACACAGACTCGTGGGGACTTGTGTCACCATGGGGACCAAAATTGAGGACCCTATAGGTAAATATCCTTATAAACCACACAGAATGAAGCATATTGAAGTGATCGGGTGGGGGAAGAGAGATCGAATATACAGTCTGTACAGTATAAAAATCACTACGTCTATGAGAAGTCATTATAAAAATAGCTGTACAAGTGTGTGTGTGTGTGGATAAAGGGAACAGTTCTCTCATTATTATCTAAGCAGCACGTCTCAGTGAAGCCGTATGATTTTGACGAATGGACCGGAGTCATGATTGGCTGGCAGTTTTCAGCTCCAGTGAGCTGTTCACCGCCGCATCACTCACACTGTGGTTAATTACACCACTAAAAACGACCCGGCTCGGACAGATTTGGCACAGTGTGATGAAATAATGACAGTATTTTCATTTTTGGGTGACCTTTAAGAAAGCGCTCCATTTCTCGCTCTGCCTGTCTCTTCTGTGTCTCGGTGTCTCTTTTATTCCGGGCTATTTCTGTCTGCTTAATTTCTCCTGCAGTGTGAGTGAAAGTGTATGTGTGTGTGTGTGTGTGTGTGTGTGTGTGTGTGTGTATGTGGGTGTGCGTTTGCTACCACGCTCTGGGCTAAAACTGCATTTGTTAGCAGGAAACCCAGCTGCTCCCATTAGGAATGCATCAGTAGTGCATCCACCGACATATTTAACTGCCGGTGTGTGATTATGAATGTGAGCAGACATGTGCAACATCCAGTACAGCAGTCATAAAACTCCCCCCATACCTAAGATAGACTTTAAAAAAATGTAACATGTGGAAATCATTTGCATTTGATGAGAAACTAAGTGATATTTATTTGAAAGAAAATTCAATAACAAAGTCTAACAGGGGTGACACGGTGGCTCAGTGGTTCACACTGTCGCCTCAGAGCAAGAAGGTCACTGGTTTGAGTCCCAGCTGGGCCTGTTGGCATTTCTTTGTGGAGTTTGCATGTTCTCCTAAAATTACCGTGGGTTTCTTCCAGGTGCTCCGGTTTCCCCCAGAGTCCAAACACATGCGCTATAGGGGAATTGAATAAACTAAATCGGCTGTATTGTATGAGTGTGAATAAGTGTGTATGGGTGTTTCCCAGTATTGGGTTGCAGCTGGAGGGGCATCCGCTGTGTAAAACATATGCTGGAATAGTTGGTGGTTCATTCCGCCTGATGAATTAAAGGACTAAGCCGAGGGAAAATGAATGAATGAATTGTATTATATAATATGACCACATCTATGCAGTTTTATGCAAACAGACAGTTTTGCAATAATAAATATAGATTATTATAACAGACTTGATGTGTTTCTGATGTAAAGCAGTGCTGTTAAATTTATATTGAGTCAAATTTTTTAATAGAAAAGTTCTACTGAAGACCGCATTGTCATGCAGCTAGTTTAGTTACATTTTAATTTCATTTAGTGGGAATAAGTATTGGGAGTAGGTCTCTCTACCGAATACACTGAACAGCTTTAGCGTTGCTCTTTCTCTTAGTTTTTTTTTTTTGATCATATTTTGATCCTTACAAAATCAGACTCAAAGAATAAATATAGAAGAGTGAATATAGAAGATGGAATATATCAAAATTAGGAGACGCTGCAGTTTATTTTAGCTGCATGATTTTCATTCTTGCGAGTTTATCCCTCTTGTTGTCTAATCTGCACACACTGTTCGCCCTTCAGATAAAAAACAAGCCTAAAGTTTTACACATTTTACCACTTCCCAAAAATGTCATTATAATGGAAGCTAATGGGGCAACAACAGCCCTGAACATAACGAAAGAGCAGTCAGTTTGAACAGTACACAAATGCATTAAACGTGTATATATATATATATATATATATATATATATATATATATATATTTTGTGTATATA